AGAAGCTTATTGTTTGTGTATGTGATATTTTGGGGAACTCACTAAGCTTCGTGCTTACCGTGTTGTGTGTTATGTGTTTCAGGTACTTCTCAGGATCGCGGGAAGGCGCCAACTTGATTGTACACACCTGTTCGAGATTATGTTTGAGGATTCTGGGATATTATCAGTTGTTTTGTTGATTCTTGTTTTTGACAAATTGATACATTGTGGTTTTGAGAAAATGTGACATTGAGCTTTATGTGATTTAAAAAGGAAAAAAATTTGTTTGATAATTTACAGTGTTCCAAGTTGGTATCAGAGCCTTGGTTTGAGGGATCCAGATGTACTCTCGGGTATGTATGGACTCAAACTGAGGATTTGAGAAAAGTTTTCTAAAAAGAAAAGATTTTTCTAAACGAGTAAGAGTTTTAAAGAGAAAACGAGACGGAGCAGTGTGTACAATCAGCCAGAGCTCGAACAGTGATTTCCCAAAATACCATTATTTGTTTATATTATGAGATATTTATGAGATATTAGAGTTGCATGCTAGAGGATAGGCTAGGTACTTCAGAAATTAGGGCTAGAGTTGCCCAAAGTACCAACACACAAACATATACCATATACAACAACATGTCAGGTCCAATCAACCATCGGATTGGAATACCAATATACTGTTGGATTAGTGTCTAAGTCCATAACTATAATTGGTATGTACTTGACCCGATTTGGCATGGTCCATTTGGGTTGCACTTCACCGGAACAATTTATATGGATAGTCTTTTGAGAATAGTATGTTTATGATTTATATTAATATATTATAAGTTCTAATATATTAATATGGAATCATATTATTTAATTAGTATTGATCAAGAATTAATTTAGAATTAATTTAGTGATCAAAAGGAACTAATTAAATATGGACTCTTATATATAGTATGGGCCAAGTTCATTTACGTTGGGCTAAGCTTGCATGGATAGTCCATGGAGTTTTTAACCCATGAATCCTATGGAAATGAAAGGGCATGGGTATTAGGGTTTACATGGATGAAACCCTAATCCTCAATACTATATAAAGAGGTCTTTGGCACAAGAAATTGCACTAGTGTGTGAGGATACAAGAGTGGGAAATTTCTAGTGTGCTTACTATTCTCTCAAGTTTTTCCAAGGTGGTTTTGGTGATTTGTGATTCCACTTGAGGCTTCCACACTATTGAGGCTAAGCTCTTAAAGATCAAGACTTCAAGCTTCATCAAAAGGTATGTCTTATAACTTGTTCATATTACCCAAGTATCAAAGATTGTATTCTAGTTAGGGTAATACATTGGAAAGTTAAATTTTGCATGTATAATAGAGATAAAATAGATCCAAGGTATTTAGGGTTGCATGTACACCGTAGGAGTGTTAGAATGCTCAAAACCCTTCATATACAATGGGTCCAGTCATCCTTGGGACGAAATACCCTCGGTCCCAATCAACCATCAGGTTGGAATACCCCCACTCTGTTGGCCCCCACATATAGCAATAGATGTCCTAAAGGCAACCATGAGGGGGATAGAGTACACCGGTGAACACATCGTTCACAACACCTACAGGTTATGAGCCGAGCCTGCTAGTGTTCCACTGGACTGTCTAGAATGAGTATGTGGTCGTCATCCATACTCCGCTAGATGAATAGATCAACAACAACATCGAGGCCTCTCATCATTTTATTTCTTCACACACCAACTGTCTACCCATGTTCTACCCAACATATTAGTAGATAAAATATATACATTTATATACAGCTTAAAACCTGTACAAAACATCCATTCAACAACTAGTTCAAATAATCAATTAATATATAAACACATAGCACGTATTTTATAAAGAATACTTCATATCTATGTGTTAGAAGAAAACAAATATACACTCACATGATAACACGATGATCGGACAGCACCTCGTCTCTTAAAATAAACTTTTCCGATAGAACTGGTATGCTTTTCTTGGAAATCGGGCTTCTCGCGGGCAGAGTTTCGGCTCGGAAACTTCACTTCTCGGGATCCTCGGGGCTTCGGGACTTGCTTCGGGGCTCGGGTATGATACCGGGGCTTCGGGATCTTTCTTGCACGCAAAACGATGCAAAACGGGAGAGAAGGAAAGATTTTGAGCAACAAAACTCGGCAGCCCTTGAGTTCTATTTATAGGGGCTGATCCATGCGATTATGATGGGCGTAACTTCAGAGTACGCTGGGCGTACTCCCTCTACAAGCAGTACGCTGGGCGTACATCGAGTACGCAGGGCGTACTCTTCGGATTTCGTCATCGCTTACGTCATCGGAGCACTCGAGTCCGAGGCGGTTCATGCACCGGGGTACGCTGGGCGTACTCAAAGGTTACGCGGGGCGTACCCTTCGGATAAGCTTTGGTATGCGTGCCATGATCTTCAAAAATTCATAACTTTCGCATACGACTTTCGTTTTCGACGTTCTTTATATCCACGCATAGGTGAGACTATGCTCTACAACTTTCATTTAGACTCCGTCGGCTAATTTTGACTTTATTTTTATTATATTATTTTTAGTAGGCCGGGACAGGAAAACTCTGTTAGAAATTCATAACTTCTTCATCCGACGTCCGTTTTCGTCTGTCTTTTCACCGTTGGACTACTATTGACGAGATCTTCGATTCTTGTTTAGATTGTTTCGGCTAAAAATCACTCGATCGCATAATCGAGATTTCGGGCTGCATACTGCTATGTCGAATCTTAGAAAAATCATAACTTCCTCATATGAAGTCAGATTTAGACGTTCTTTTTATGCACGCTCTCGGTTTAATGTTCTACAAATTCTGTTTAGATCACTAAGGCTAGATATCGCTCTATCTTAAATTCATATTTTACGTCCTTCAGCGTCGTGCCGGTTCCGTCGCGAAACTTCGACAGGTCGTAACTTCTTCGTTATAACTCGGATTTCAGCATTCTTTATACATTCGGAAACCTTGCCACGACCACTACAACTTCCTTCATAGATATCGAGCTTATATAATATTTTATTTTTACGCTTATTTTTATTCTTAATTCAATTAGGCCACATAATTAAGCATAAAACACATAATACTCAAATAACACATTCTTATTATTTCAAAATGAGTTACAAAGGTTAACCTAGACTATTACAACAACATTAATGCCTAGCCCAGAAACACGGGTGTTACATCCACACCGGCTTGGAAGAACTAAACACTCCTTATAAGGGATGTGGATACCTTCCGTGTCACAACGCGTTTTAAAGCCGTAAGGGTAGCAGGTCCCATAAGAACACTGCAGTTAAGTGTGCTTGGGCGAGAGTAGTACCGGGATGGGTGACCCCCCTGGGAAGTCCTCGTGCCGAGTAGCCCAAAGCGGACAATATTGTGATACGTGCCGGAGGGGGATGTTACAAATGGTACCAGATCTGGGGAACGGGTCGATGTGTTCGACGGGGACGTCGAACCCTATAATAGGGGGTAAAGGTGGGTTGCATCTGATCCCACATCGGCTTGGAAGGAGAACTAAACACTCCTTATAAGGGGTGTGGATACCTTCCTTGTCACAACACGTTTTAAAGTCGTGAGGGCAACAAATCCCGTAAGAACTTTGCAGTTAAGCGTGCTCGGGCTGGAGTAGTACCGCAATGGGTGACCCCCTGGGAAGTCCTCGTGCCGAGTAGCCCAAAGCAGACAATATTGTGATACGTGTCGGATGGGGATGTTACAAGTTGATCCCAGCACCGAGGACAGTTCAACTACTACACGACACTGAGTTGAGTTACCTCCCAGTAGAAGTGGGTCTACGGCCACAATGTCGGTCCACTAGTAGGAGTTGTTTGATAGATGATTATTTTGTGATAATTATCTAGGTATGCTACTACCTGATATGTTTTATGTGCTAGCCTGATATTATGTTATGTGATAGTAGTAGTAGGGGAGATAGTCCCTGGTTACCGGTCGATAGGACCAAAGGGGTAGTTTAGTACCCAACTATGCTAGATAGTTTATGACTTATGTGATATGATATTATGTGGTAGTAGTAGGGGGATGAAATAGTCCCCGGTTACCCGTCGAGTGGGTCTACGGCCACAATGTCGGTCCACTAGTAGGTTTTGTTTGATAGATGATTGTCTTTGTGATAATTATCTAGGTAAGCTACTACCTGATATGTTTTATGTGCTAGCCTGATATTATGTTATGTGATAGTGGTAGTAGGGGAGATAGTCCTTGGTTACCGGTCTATAGGACCAAAGGGGTAGTTTAGTACCCAACTATGCTAGACAGTTTATGACTTATGTGATATGATATTATGTGGTAGTAGTAGGGGGTGAAATAGTCCCCGGTTACCGGTCGACAGGACCGAATGGGTAAGCCAACACCCATATATGCTAGGCAAGTTACCGGACGACAAGACCGAATGGGTAGTCCAGCACCCATATATGCTAGGCAAGTTACCAGTCGACATGACCGAAGGGTAGGCCAGCACCCGGATATGCTAGGCAAGTTACCGGTCGATGGGGCCGAAGTGGTAGCTAGTACCCATATATGTTAAGCAGTATATGTTATGTATGGTATGTGGTATGATGGGGGAACTCATTAAACTTCGTGCTTACAGTTTTTAGTTTTGTTTTCAGGTACCTCTTCATCGAAGGGGAAAGAGCGGGCACGGTAGCAGCGCATTACACACACATGATTTCCGCATTATGAGATTCTTGGGATTTGTACTTTGACATTGTTACTATTTTATGACATGGTTTTGAGATACATGATCCATGGTTTTATAAAATGAAGTAACTTAATGATGTTTTCTATAAATTATTTTATGAATCGTTACATCAAAAATGAAAATTTTGTTCTTGAAAAATGATGTTTTCTATAAAATGACATGGTTTTGGTTTCGTTACTAGTTCTTTCACAAATTCCTTTGCTAACCAAGTTGGATTTATAAGTCTTGAACTACTAAAACTCCTAACACATGTATACCTGCCATTAATCTTTTTCACATGGAATGATTTAGCAGTACTCATCCATGAAGCACGAACCATAAAAAGGGCATTTTTCTGGATCACTTTCACATACAACCACTAGTCTAACACTATCACACTTCTTGAAACGAATTTTATAACCCTTATGGATGGAATAATTTGTTAAATATAATATGAGTTGATGTCTGGACTCATACCTTTCTCCGAGAACTGGTTTTATAACATTCCATTTGACCTTCAGATCATGGATGGAATATTCGATTTGATCTTCATCACTATCTTCTTCACTAGATTCTTCAGTGTCTTTCTCATCATCTACTTCACCATAACTATTGGACTCAACTGGTGCATGCTCTCCTTCACCTCCCAGTGGTTCGTCATCACTCTCTTCACACAGAACGTTAAGAAACTCATCTTTGCATCTTGAAACTGGCTTTCTTTTGAAAAAATCATGAAGTTGAACGTCGATGGTGTCCGACTCAAATACTTCATCTATTAGCAAAATCTTTGGAGGAACAAAGGCTTTTCTTTCGATGAATCCAAGGATTATCGGGAATAAGGGAGACAAGAATAAATGAGTTTTCTTAAAAGGAAAAACCCTAAACAAATGAAGTCAACGTACAATCACCATTAAGATGCCACATATACATCTGTAACTGGTTAAATGAGGTTTACCGGATGAATGAGATTAAATTGTTAGGTTTATCCGGTTTATTGAGCTTTTTTATTTAAATTTTTTTATGACTTTTTAAAAAGTTTTCCCAAAATATTGAAACTTTACTGTAGAAATCCTTTACTTTGGCTAGAGAGATCATTTTGGAAACACTTCTTTAATCGTTTGTAAGTTTAATTTGCATTTTAATTTTGATTTTGAACTTGCATGTAAATTTTGCTATGCTAGAAAAAAAAAACTAATTCTGATTTCATTGTTCAATTTCCGTCTTTTATACAGTTAATTTATATTGTTTAATGTTAGACAAGTTTTCTAATTTATATTGTTCGATTTCACATTTCATTTGCATAATACTCTTGAAATTTTAACTTGGTTCATGTTGGTCCCTTAAAAAATAATTTGTTCCTGTATTGTTATTTATTAATTCATAGAATCCGAAATTGTTTTGTGAATTAAGATTAGTAACAACCATTGAATTGGTTCTAAAAAAAGATTTAACTTCGTTGTAAACGTGAATTTACTTGTTTTCATATCTCCAAGTTTGTTGTAAGAAATGTACATTGTCGGGAATGCAAAACTTCATGCAACTTTTCAATTCATTCTTAGATTGAGTTAGTAATGTTATGTTTAGTTAAACACCGTGTTTTAACTAAATACTTTAACATGTTAGAAAATTGTACAACTTTTTAGTATTTCATAGTACTAACTTATATTAGAATTCAATTGGATATCAAATCATCATTAAATGCTATTATTGATGGAATGAATGCTAACCAAACTTTCCTGCTTATTATTTCTTTGCAACTCATACTTTTAGTGCATGTTATTGAATGCTTTATCTTTTCATACATAAAGCTCTCCTAATTTGTTTTATAATTATTGGTTTAAGATTTGCAAAAGACATTTAACATTTGATCTATGTCTATAAGAACTCCACCCCCACTTATACTATGCTATACTATACTATACGTAGTAGTATTTCATTACATATTTTATACTTCATTATCGATTGTTGGTTTGACAACCCAACAAAGATTAATTTTCATTATCACATCCGAATGATTATTTGCAATAATACTTGTCACTGTAACACCAATCATTTGTAGATTTGTCCTTTTCATGAATACGTGTGACTATTAATCACAATAGATACCACACATATTAAAGGGAAGTACTTGGGCACCATGCTACTTGAGTAGGAATTCATGGATATGGTTTTTAGATAAGCTACCCGAATGCATCAATGAGTATCGCCATCATGATATATATGGCTAATTCCATTGATCTACCTGGATCTTCTCAAACGAACATTTGTTGTCATCATGTACTCATGAATTTGCAAATTGTAATACCCATTTTGAATTTTCTTTTTGGGATCAGCCAAACAGTTACGAACTATATAAAATTACTCATATGAAAAAAAAGGGTCCAATTTTAACATTTAAAAAACATAATTTCACAATCGGATGTCACATATGGATCATAAACCATAAGAAGTACAACCATAATTTATAAACATAAATACAACCAATAACTATTTGGGTTGTTCCTTCTCAACAAAGGCTAATCCATCTTTACGTGTATCGAAGGACTATCCAAAAGATCATCATATTCACATATAACAACCAACTTATTATTATTATTATTAGCTCTTTCAAAAAAAAAAACCAACTTATTATGTGTACCTACCATAAATAACAACAAATAATTCACAAGACAAATATGCCTTGCGAGACACATAAAATATGACAAAAATATTTACATAGGTGACAAGACAATAGTCTATAAGAAGTATATAAAGCATAACAAAAATGCAACATTTTATAAAGGAGTTCGATCCGTTTGATGAACTGATCAACAACTATGATCTTTTATCTATCCAATTCAATTTCCATATTTATAATTCAATTCCTATACCAGTGGGAAAACATGTACCAATATAAGTGGGAAAACATGTACCAATGTAAGTGGGACCTTTACTAACATGTAAGTGGGACAACATTGATATCATTACCTCACATTAATACATTCAAAAATTACAATTGTATAGTTGTATACGTAGATGTAAATTCATATAATTTGGATCAAATAAGAAATAACAATCTCAGTCTACAAAAATGGTTAAGCCCCTACAAATTACGGTCTTTATATAAATTTTGTTGATAATAGTTTATAGATTTAGTATTTAAATTTTATAGATATATGATATATCATTATCCGAATCATACCATCAAACTTATCCGTTAACAAGAATTGAATTTTGTTCGCTGGATTTATCGTTTTAGCATATATTCACAACTAAAGGATAAATTAATAAGAATACTGAACAAATCAACAAATGTCGTATAATTATTTTATCTTATCTTATTTTTCAAGAATTAAATTCTCAAATTAATTGTTTTTCCAATAAAATACGAAAAAGATGGAATGCTAATCTCACCTACCAACAAATCCATCACTCCGTGCGACTGCTACTGTGGGGCCTATCATCACCCAGCCTTGACTTCACGTAAAATTCTACCAACAATAAGGGCATTTTAGTAATTTACCATTGACAAAAAACCGGGTAATTTCCGGGTGCAAAGAGGACACTCGGCCTCCGTCTCAATTTGTGTATGTGAATCCTTCAGACTCCGTGCTGTTTGAGTCCCAGAGTCGTGACTGATCGGATTCTTCTTCGATCCGATCAACTGAAAATCTTTGGAACTCGTAACCTGCATTCTCGATCGATTGATTGTTTTTACTTGTTTTCGTCACATACACCAATTTTGATCGATTTGTTTTTGTTTTGGTTCTGAATATCTATCTCTGATCAACTTTCCGGCGTAGAATCCTATTGTTTCGAGTCTAATTAGTAGCGGTATTTGTTGAGAAGAATCTGGGATTTTAGGTTTGATTAAAAACCCTAATTTTAATGGCTTCAATAAACCTTCAGTCCAGAGACGGCGGCGGCGACGATAGTTCTAGGTCGCCGATACGTTCGCGAGGGGTTTCTTCACCATGGAGTAAGATCGTACGAGGAGACAGTGGGGAGTTGCCTCTACCGGTAGTTTCTGTTACTCCTCCGGCGGTATCGCCGTCGTTATCCATTCAGGAGCATATCGCTAACCCTTCCTCTGATTGTTCGCCGCCTAAGGCTGTGGCGGATTCGGCGAGCTCTCCGGATGATTCTGGCACCGAATGTCAATCAGAGGGTTCTGGTAATGGTGGCGGCGGCGGCGGCAGTAATGCGGTTAAGAAGCCGGTATGGAGTAAACCATCAAACGGTGTCGTTGAGGTCGTCAGTCCAGTTATGGGTGCAGTTTCCTGGCCTGCTCTAGGAGAGTCTACTAAGCCTTCCCCTAAATCGTCTTCATCGGAGTCCTTACAATCTCTTTCAGATGGGTCGTTGGTGCCTGCTATACAGGTAATGGTACTATTATCCTGTTTAGTTTTCACAATCATCGCTTAATCTTACAGATATGACAATCATGCAATTATAGAGTAGTTCAATCTGTATTTTAAGCTTACATCTAACATGTTACTATGTTTGTTATATCACAGGTGACTGGAAATCCACCCCCTTCATCACATAAACTAGCAGTTCCTAATCATGTGAATCCCACTTCAACTCCAAACAATGTAGCGCCTTCTGGACAGAGGTCCCTGAGGAGAGGTGGAGGGAATTCGGGTGCATATATATCATCAAATGGAGGGTTTTCTCAGCGTTCACCAGCAATCCAGGATCCAAAAGTTGAAGCTCCCCGTAATACAACTGGAAAACCTGCAAATGTTTCAATGGATTCTTATCCAAAGGACCAGAGAGGAAGCTTCGGATCACAACCAAACAATGGTAATACTAATTCCAATACTAATGATCATCACCATCAAAGGAATTCGTATAGAAGAGGCAATGGTGGACAACATCCACGTGGCAATCAGGAATGGAACCAACATAGAAGCTTCAACAACATGCAACCTCAGAGGGGTGGTTTCCGCAGGGGTTTTGTAAGACCCTCTGTACATTCTTCAACTCCATTTATCCCTCCACAAATGCACGTTCAAGTTCGCCCTTTTGGCAACAATTTCATGTACCCTGGTAAGGTTTCTTTCGCTACAACTTTTTCCTTTCCTTTTTTCTTTCATTTGGCATAATGATTCATCTGTAGTGCCAGATATGGGGGCTGCTATGTTCTATGTTCAAGGTCCAACTCCACCAGACTCTCTCAGGCCTATACCACTGGTTGCACCAATGCAACCTCCAATCTACTTCCCTGTTCCTGATTCAGATTTGCATAAAAAGATAGAGAAACAAATTGAATACTATTTCAGGTTCTTCATCACTCAAGTTCAAATTCTTCTTTTTGTGAGAAAAATTGACCTGGTTTCAAAGAGTTAACACAGCTAATATTCTTTCTCTTTGTTTTAGTAATGAGAATTTGGTTAGAGATATATACTTGAGACAAAAGATGGATGAACAAGGCTGGGTTCCTGTTAATATAATAGCAAGCTTCAAGAAAGTAAGTATTCTGGAATATTATAAGAAGATATTAGTTTTTCTAAAACTTTTCATATGAATAGAAAATGATAATTTTTTTTTTTTTTTTTTTTTTTTTTTTTATTGTATAGGTTTCGATTTTGACTGACAATGTTGAGCTAATTCTTGATGTAATGCGAACATCAAAAGCTGTGGAAGTTCAGGTGTGTAGTCAGTAGTGTATTATCTATCATTATTTATAAAACTTATTCTAATAAATTTTTTATTTTTTCAATCTGTTATATATAAATATGCAGGGTGAGAAGATGAGGAGGAGAAATGAGTGGATGAAATGGGTGCTTCCAAGCTCAATAAATCAAGATTCATTGGCATCACAGCTTCGGGGGATTGGATTGGATGACGTGGCAACAAACAACCAGGTTCATATGGAAAAGTTTTCTGGTCAACAAAGTCAACAACAAGGCACGGTGGCTTAAATTTAAATTGAACCTCATCAGGTACACCATACACACACATGAGACAGAATAAGCGAGAGTTGGAGAGATGGTAACTAAATCACACTTTTTTTTTTTTTTTGTTCAAAAAAGAAAAAAAGAAAAAAAAAGAGAGAAGACCTCAATGATGATGCGGGCTATCTTGGATTTCCATGGTAGATTGAAATGATGTTTTGAGAGGCCAACATTAAACACATGAAAAAATAAAAAAAAACCCAAAAAAAGGTAAAATAAAAAAGGAAAAAAGGATAAAAAAAGTTGAATAAGACATAAAAAGATAAAAAAAAAGGGATAGATTTATGGTTGACTTTGGAGAATGATATGTTGGATGTTATTATTATGACTTGTTTTTGTTTTTGGACCCATGAAAATTAGATACATTTTTTTTTTCTTTTTCCTGTGTATGTTTTGGTTGTTTTTTTAGATGTTGGTTGGTGGTTTTCTTCTTCTTTAGGAAGTATGATTTTCATAATCTCAATTCTCATGGCCCTCTTTGGCAAATATGGTAGTAGTCATATGTTGACGTATAATATCAAATATTAATTATATGCAAGGACTAATTTTACGTTTTTAAAATTTGAAGTTGATGTAGATGTCATGTCAAAGGAATTTGGAATAATTAGAACGTAAATTCTAGTAAAAATTGCATTTGGTTGACAAAATGAAAGCAATTGGTTTTTAAAAAAACAAAAATGTTATTATATTTCATTTTTGTTTTAGCCATGATTTATCAAATGAAAACAAATTATCATCATCATCTCTCTAACATCCCATCCCGTACAACCATACACACACCCATCAATTTCAAATGATAAAGATGAGTGTGGCTTTGATTTATGTGTGTTTCCTTGAATGATGCATTTGTGTTTCTTCACTTGGTTAACATAAAATTCATTAATAAAGTACAAGTGTTGCTATACTTATCAATCCTTGCCTTGAAAGTTGGTATGACATTGTTATACAAATTAGTATTTTATTTAGAACTACAAAGATCATGTTCCAAGAGATTTATGATTTGATCATTGGAGAGGATTTTTGCTGGAAGAACATAGTGAGTGTTCTAGTTCTTTGTTTAGTCCGAAGGGAAAGTGGCATAACAAACCAAAATATGTGGGGGCAATGGTAAAGGCAATGCGATATCCGTAAAGATGGACACTTCAGAGATAATGCGTTTTACATGCGACTTCAAAAGGACAGAAAGAAAGAGGTCAAGTTGTAGCCGATGATGCATTTATTTGCTGCAAAGTTGTCGATTGAATATCGGATCATGAATTTAGGTGCATTTAAATACACAACTCCGTGCAAATAAATTGACTTAACATTCACAACATTAGGCTATACGGTATCATGTAATTATTGCTGTCAGCAAACACCACCCTCAACTTATTTTTCTGTCAGTGGCACTCTTCGACACACACATAAACACACACACACACACACACACACACACACACTCTCTCTCTCTCTCTCTCTCTCTCTCTCTCTCTCTCTCTCTCTCTCTCTCTCTCTCTCTCTCTCAATTGGTAGGCAAATAAATGACATCACACCCTATTCATAGGCAAAACTTGAAAAAAATAGTAAAAGCTTATGTGAAACTAAATTTCAGTAGGCAATAATATCACCACACCCTTTAGCTTATAATGCTAAAGTACGACTACCAGGAAACATGGGGTTTTCAAGATGTATTATATACGAGAAATTGAGTTTTCAAGATGTATTATTTTCTATAATTTTAATATGAATGATTCTTAATTATAGGTAAACAAAAAGTACCACTAATACATACCATTCATAATTGGAAAATCTATAGAAAAGTCCAATTTTTTAGGAAAATTGTTAATTAAGTTTCAATCTTTTTTAACAGAAAAGTCCAAAAAAATCATACTCGTCTCAAGAATTGTCTTGCAGTCCCCAAGTCACCATACAAGGAAATAACATAGCAACTTAACACATTTGAATAGTATAATGTAATAGAGATTATATTACTTCTTGAAAACGATTACAATGTTATTCAAGTTCACCATACAATATGCCTCTTATATCAGGCTACATCACATAATACTATCTATATGAGACGTCTGCTTGATATCTTGTACTTCGGATAAGCAACTCTCTATTCTTGATCTCTTGCAACGTCATCTGCTCCATGAAGGATCATCTAGAATATTCTTGCCTTTGTGGTGGCACATTCGACCTTGCTGCTTCGCTTTTCTTTGAGCAATCATTCCTGAGATGCCCTGTTTCTCCACATTTGTAACACATGCTTTGGGTGTAGTTACTAGCGTAGTGACCAGTCTTCCCACAATTGAATCAAGTCACCTCATTGGTGCATCTCCCTAAGTGTTTCTTCCTGCACTTCTCACACCACTTTGCCTCATTGGTATCCCTAAACCTCTTGTCGTTGGGTCCGGACTATGAAAACCTAATCTTCTTATCTACCCTTGAAGATCCCGCAAACTTCATTTTCTCTTCAGTTTCAGCTTTCTTTAGAAATTTCTCCCTTATATGGGTCTCTACATTCCTAGCTGCCTAGATGGCTGCTTTCATAATAGTTGCTAGTTTCACCGTTGGACCAAAATCCGCTGGTAGTGCCATAGCAAACTTATTGACTTTGGAAAGTTCGGGAGGAACTAGGTTAGGAACTAACTTCATCTTCTCACTGAAAGCTGCAACATACTCCCTGACACTCATCTTTCTTTTCTTAAGATTCCGAAATTCATTATTGATCTCTAGAAGATCTTGTTCAGAGCAGTATTGCCTCTTTAAATCCTCAAGGAAGCTCTCCCAAGACATCTTCCTTGATTCTCCCTTTGGCATGGAATCAGCCAATAATGTCCATGAGCTCACTAGTATTTAGTTGTCTGACAGCTAAGATGATCTCTTGTCAGTTGTTGTAGTCACAACTATCAAACACCATCTCCATCTCGGAGATCCACTCCCTAACTTCTACTGGTGTTGGGCTACCATAAATACTTGGTAGTTTGGATGCCATGAATACTTTATACTTGCATCCATTCCTATTGTTTCCTCTTTATGGATTGTTTCTCCAAACTACTTGTGGCTCAGCTTGACTAACAGTCCGGCTATAGTTTCCTTCATCTGAATGTTCCTCGGGGCAGAAACTTATCCTTGACGCGTTAGCCATATCCGTTAACTACCTCCTACTGACAATAGGGTCCCATTCGCCATAGAACGCAGGAGCTCCGCACGCACGGAACCCACAGAAAAAAAGAGTGCGAACTCCAACGATGGTCATAGCCTCAGCACGGAACGCTCCCAAGCGCTCATGCAAGATCTAAAAAACCCCCTCCTTTACCGAACCAAAGGTCACAACAGTCTGCTCCAAAACACCCCGGGTAATCTCTGATGAGATGAACTCTCGCATCTGCTCGCTAATCGGCTCAATACCTGCACATGCACCTGAGCCGGAACTAGAACCAGAACCTCCTTCCTGGTTGCTCATCACCAAATTGAAATGCAACTTGCAAATGATCTGAACATACCCAAGAATCCTCTTCCACAAGCTTCTTAGATTCTCCAAGACTCTCCCCGATTCGAGTATGGATCTTGTGCTTTTAGTAGGTTGGGCCCAATACTACCTTCCTCACCTATCCATACTTTCCTCAAGAATCATCATGAATCCTCCAAGTCACCTTCTCATACTGATGTACCAAAGGCTCACTAAACCACACGACTACACCTGCTGCAACACTTCCTAGGCTCTCCTAGGTTCCCGACCTCACCCTGCCATCAGCTGCTGAAGAACTCCTCATAATGCCAGTCACCCACCTCATGAATACCAACATTCGTTCAGTAACACTCCAATCCATAAGACGATCATAGGACACTTAGCCCACGCACCACAACTTATGCTAGAAATTCCACCCTTGCTGCCGGTTGCCTTATGCATGAAAATTATACACAAAACATGATCAAATAGACTGTCGAATAACAGACTCTACCCTAGAACCACAACCAGAAAAGGAACATGCAATAAGGCCAAATCAATTATTCTAGGGCTATAAGATCCTAACCGTATACAATTTTTAAAGCATACACTTAGCAATTACTGATTCCAATTGATATTCCCATCTCAGCATAGCATCCAATACTCCCATGACTACAAGGCATCACATATCAGGTCAATCTACCACGAACTAACCAGCACTAGCATGCAAGTCTACCAGCTCATACAATATACATACAAAGGAATCTCTCCTAGCATTCTATCATGCAAGAACTGAGCAGATCCTTAGCCCTAACTAGCATGCGATTTACAGATTCATAAATCAAGTCATAACAGATAACATGTATGAATATTCTGGGAAAACTTACTTGAGCTCGGCTGATTGCATGCACCACACCCTTTCTTATCTTAGAAAACTCTTTTCTTAAAATACTTTTCTTTTTTAAAAATTTACCAAATCCTCAGTTTGAGTTCAGACACACCCGAGAGTATGTCCGAATCCCTCAAACCAAGGCTCTGATACAAACTTGTAACATCCCGAAAATCATGACATAAAAAAATTGTTTTTAGATTAGTAAATCGTTAATATATATCTTTCCCATAAAACCAAGATAACAAAGCTTTAACAAAACATCATCAAATTAGAGTAATTCAAAGAATGTAGAAACATGTGGTAAAGTTTAAAAAAAAAATGAAAGAAAAATGATTTAAAAAGGGAAAAACAAGTCTTCTAATACAAGAAAGGGTGTGGTGCATGCAATCGACCGAGCTCAAGTAAGTTTTCCCAAAATACACATACATGTTATCTGTTATGCTTTGATCTGTGAATCTGTGAATCGTATGCTAGTTAGGATTGAGGATCTGCTCAGTTTTTGCATGCTTGAATGCTAGGAGAGATACCTTTGTATGCCTACTGTATGAGCTTGTAGACTTGCATGCTAGTTCTGCTTAACCAGTGATAGATTGGCCTAATATGTGTTGCCTGGTAGCATAGGAAGCATGGGATGCTGGTTTGGGTATGATTTGGATGTGTAGGGAAATCAGTAGCGAGAGTGAG